TGAATGAATAAATAAATAAATACCTTTGAATGAAGATATCTCACCTGGAACACATTACTCCTGTGTCCACTGTCAAAAGCCAGAGCCGGTTTGTTCTCCATCCAGTTCCATAGTATCACCTGCAGGTCATCTGAACCACTGGCAATTCTGGTACCTTGAAATAATGATGGGCATATTCGAGAGGTTTTGCAGACAATAAATAGCAAATATGAACAAACAACAACAGAGTTCACACTTCATATGTCTCAAACTACAATCAATGCACTAATAAGAAGAACAACTGAGCCACTGGCAAATTCTGGTGCCTTGGGGTAATTATGGTTAAATTAGAGAGGCTTTGCAAATATTTCATGCTTGGTAGACAGTTTCTCAAACTGCGACTGATTCAGTAATACGAAAACAACAGGTTATCTGAATCACTGACAGTTCTGGTACCTTGAAATACAGTTATTATTACCACCAGCATTAGGGATTGTATAGGATAGAAATCTTCCATACATGTTACTGGATTACAACAAATAGAAAATCCACAGCTGATGAACACCACTTAAAATGTTACCCACTTAGGAAGCAGCTACCATTTTATATACACTTAATGTTATACTGGCCCTTTTTTATCTGAATTTTTCAAATATTCTTAAAAATCTAAACGTTCATACTACTTATAATTATATACATGTATTATCATATATGTAAAGAATCATCCCTGTGGAAAACTTACCAGTTTCATTGAAATGTAAGGCATTCACACAGCCATCGTGTTTCTCCATCTTATACTGGAGCTGTAGTTTCTGCACCATGTAAAGACTGGCATGGCAGTCGATTGCAAACAGTCGAGGGTGCTTCCAGTTACTCACGCCTAACTCACGCTGCCGCAACTGCCCCAAGGCATGCCAATTATTCAACAAAGGACTCGAATTGTCTAAATCCATGTTGCTTTTGTCTTCATCCTCATCATCACTACTGAATTTAGCATCGTCTTCTTTACCGAAAGCCAAATCATCGAGATCATCGTCACTACTGGACGAGGTGGACATCCTGCGATCACGCTTTTGTTTGCGATACACTTTCATTTCTTCGTCAACATTAAAGTCATACTGGCCTATGGGATTGCTGTCGTCAGTGTCGACCATGTCTGGTAACATGCCGTCATTAAAGTCAGAGGTCTGAGATACTGATGGGGTTTGACCTTGACCTGTAGTTTCTGGGTCAAGGTCACCTCTTTTAGAGTCAGTATTTGGAGATCTGTCTGTTTTATTATCATTTTTTGTTGCATTGTCAATGTCTTGTAAAACTAATACTTTTGCTGTGGTTTCTTTACTTTGAACAGGAGTGCTAGTGTTACTATGGTGATCTAATGTTTGGACTGAAGAAATCAAATCATCGTCATCATCGTCATCTACTTCATCATTGTCCAAGAAAATGTCAATTTTCCCAGCATCACTGGCTTCATTTTCTAACTTAATGCTCTCTGCTATACTGATGCTCTCTGGGTCAGACTGCTGTGCTATGTTGATGCCGCTATCTGTGGTACTCGTTACATCTGTGTCAGATATTTCACTTTTTGAAGGGGAAGCAGTCTCCACATTAATCCCACTATCATCTTCTCTCATTCCCGTTAATTCTAAATGCTGAACCTCCATCGAGGCATCACTTCGGGAGTCAGTAATTGGTGCAGGGTCAAGGTCAGCTGTATTATGAAGGTCAAGGTCAGATGTGTTATTCTTACTCTTCAAACCTCCTTGTCTCACGTTATTAGATGACCCTTGATCTTCTAGCTGAGACTTTGTTTCATTTTTAACTGTAATTGCACAGTCATTGTTTTGAATACTGCCGTCTGTGTGGTTGTTGCTACAGTCAGAGAGCAGCAAATCACTGTGATGGTTGTTACTTGCTATTTCATCTACACCTTCATCTGCCATGGTTGATCTTTTCTTGTCAGAAAAACTGCCTCATTAGTCAGGAAATTTTGGTAGCTAAACGAAGATAGAGGAGAAATAAGCACACTTTCAGGGCAATCTTTCCCACCATTAATGAGTTACAGCACATTATGTAACAAACTCATCAATGTCCCTTAGAACAACATACAGCACATGGGGATATCAGAGAGCTCCAGCACAAAAATTTGGCTTTTACTGACACTAAAGACATTAAATAAACTATGCATCTTACCTTTAGTTGATTGTATTGAAAAGAGGAGAATAATATCAGACGATTACCTGGTTCTTTATATCATAAAAATACGAACGTGCAAGAAACTTTCGTGTCCATGTAAAAAAAAATTAAGTGACCTTCACCTTTCTAGAAAATAGAAATAAATGGCTTAAGGGGGTTTGTCCAACGAGAAACTTTAAAGGGGCTCTAACTGATGTAAAATATAACCTTTTAAAAGGCTTCTTGCTTTCATCTGAAGCTGGCCCTTTAAATCTGACGTCTAAAAATAGAATCAAAACAAAAACATCTTCAGCCATTTTTGTTTGTTGACGAAATTGCCCCCTGTTTTTTCAGCGTTGCAAGCGCCACTCATCCTTACCAAATCAGAATCACAGAGTTAAAACTACATATTTTTGACCTGGCATTGTCGCATCCTTGCCGCGTTTCTATGAGCTGAATAAATGCATCCGTCCCGACGACAACTTTTGCGAACTGAAAGTGCACTTGCTCGCCAGGTGAACAGGCATACAACAACATGTGCATTTTCCATTGGCCTATATTGAGGATAATTTTTGAAGATTGAATTGTACATTTTCAAAATTTACTTGGATAATAAAAGCAAGAAAAGAAGTGTTGGATGAGTTTTGATTCCGATTGATGTGTGTAATTTTTTTGTTATTTTCCTAAATTGATCATACGATGGTCATGTGACTGGTTTATTTACCACTGCAGAATTGCAATTTGGGTTATGATCCATGTAGGCTGCAATAACAGTTTTCGACTGATAGAAATGGGAATTGTTCGTAACGTATGCAATAACATAAAATAAAATAATTGCTATGAAGTTAGGCACAGATAATATGACAATTAAGCTTATAACAATTTGAAAATATGCCTCTCATCATTTTGGTTTTAATATGAATATACTTCGAATTGCCTACATGGGTGTTATACCTTCAAGATGGAAGAGAACGAGCAGAAGTTACCTTCGTCGGTGCAAGAAGATGACGAAAATTTCAGACGAGCGCTCTCTAATCTCTTCAGGGACATCAGATCTGAAGCTTTCAGCAATATGGAGTACTTTGAAGGCCATAAACATCATAACCATGATAAATTTTACAAAATGTTTTGCACTTTATTGGAGCACCTGGACTCTGACAGCGGGGTTGATCAATTTCTGGATCGACTCTTACAAGACATGCATACTTACGACTATGACGAATTCACGCCAGCGAACGGCTACAGAAGTATCATCAAAGTCCTTCACAAGTGCTGTGTACATATCCTAGTACTTTGTAGGTACATATCAGTAAACAAGGGATCTTTCTTGTTTCGTTGTGGACACTATAGCAGAGAACTGTCTGCATACGTGAGCTGTCTGGGACAGATCCGGGCAGCAATGTTTTATGCGGTAAAGCTGATGGGGTATTGTGAAGTTGGGGAGTTATTCAGTGATGATAACAAGTTCCGTGGGAATGAGACCGCTGAGAGACTTATGGCTGAGTCAGAATGCATAGACGCTCAGTATTTTTATGGGCGGTGCCTAGGATTTCAGGTTTGTTTATTGTTGTTTGCTTATTGTTTTGAGCTGTGTCAGTAATTAGTTGTTCATCGAAAGCCATGTAAATTTTAGATAAAAGTTTTAAAAAATGTTGTCACTGTACTTGTACTACTCTCTGGTTCATAAGAAGTTATTTGCATAAAATTGTGATTATTACCATTTTGAAATATTTTAAATTCCTATTATTAGAATTGCATATTTTTCTAATGAGAAATGGCATTTCAAAAACTTGCCTAACAGGTTATAATTGAATCAGTGGTGTACAGAAGTAGTGAATTCCTTCTCACTAATGTCCAGATTATCTTATGACATGTGGTCTCTAATTAAGCAGTGATGAATAATTCAGTAATTAGAGAGTAGATGTGACTGTAAAGCTATTGTGAAGTTTCTTTCTATACATGAAAGGAACATTTTCCATGGCAGACAATAATGAACAGAGTATAGCTGCTTCTTTTTTCCTTGCACGAATACTTACTGTATAGTATTTAGCTAATTGACACTGATAAAATTATTTTCATTTTTGTCCAAAATTTTTAAGAAGTCACTCCCCTCCAGTTACCCTCACTTAAATATTGAAAGTGTACATAGTTGTCTCAATTAAACATAGACTAGCCATTCATTTCTGTTATATTAGCAATGAAAGTTATATTAATAATGATGATCATAAATAATAATATTTTCTTTATCTTTAAAGTCATAATAACTCTTCGTTTTGGCCAAAAATCGGATTTTCCTGGAGAAAACAGCAATTTTCTTGTGCATTATAATGGTGCATTCAAAGTTACTCCAGGGTTTATTTCCTAAACGTTTGGTTTTTTGTTAAAATCTCTTAAGAGATTTTAACTAACGGAGCCATCTCTGACATTGTATAGTCACGCGATATTGAGCGATATTTTCTGGTGACCTACTTAAAACCACGGGAAAAAACACAACAACAACACTTTATAACATTAATATAGGATTCATAAGATATATACGTCTTATTGCTCAAAATGCATTTATATCTACAATGTGTGCAATTCTGGGCTTTTCATTATCCGACGCACTGTACAAAAACTCGCAACTTACGTCTGCGGATTGCATCATGTGTTTGGTGCCATATGTTATTTTGGTCTTGAATGAACGCGAGAATCCGCTTGACACCCCAACGTCATTGGCAACGGATGCCTTGACGACCGGGAAGAAAGGCATCGAAAGCCTTATTGACAAGCACAGATTTTAGTTTTACTACAATAACAGCCGTTTTAGTGGTAAAATGCAATAGAATATATACTAGTACTTCCATGCGTTGTTTACAATGTATTTCTTGCGGAATTTTGAATCTCAAAGGAAGAGTTATTATTGCTTTAACTATTTTTATATTCATATGCAGAGTATTACTAAGGATACTACTTGAAAATGTAGAAAATTGTGAATGTATTTATTATTTCAGTATTGCATGTGTGAAAATTTTTCATACCAGATTTCTGGATTTTCAGTCTTCATTTTCATTGTTTTATCAATTCATTTGAATATGATGACAAATTGTAAGGCAGGGGGGTCTGGTCAATTACATTTTCAGGATTATCACTTTGTACACCTTTCATCCATGGTATTGAGAATCTATTTGTAATATTGGTATTGATAATCCATTTCCTATTTCAGTATTGTGAGTCCATGCTGAGACCTTTCCAAGTACTTCACATCACAATGGCTGTGTACAGTGAGCTTTACAAACAGGACAAGTCTAAGCTAGGAAAGCTGACTGGTTCAATCCTCAGTGGTGGGAAATATTTACTGAACCCTGACCTGAGAGGTAAACAGGTGTCTGTGACAACTAAGACTGAGGACATCAGGTTCTGTAAGGGGTTCTGGGGGCTGGCAGAGACACAGATGATGCACGTAAGGAAACTTGAAATTGAAATTTGTAAAGCTAAAGTGGAAATCTCAACAAATGTTATGACATAAAAGATCCGATTGTAACTTTCAGAAACTGTTTAAACAAAGACTAGTTTAATATTTAAATTTTGATTGGTGTTTTCTATTGCCTCATGTTATTATAATAGTATAATTATTGTATTCTCCAGACATTACCAGACTATGTCTGTCCCTCTGTACAAGTCAATGAGGTGCTCCTGATCCTAGCCAAAGTCTCATGTTATTATAATAGTATAATTATTGTATTCTCCAGACATTACCAGACTATGTCTGTCCCTCTGTACAAGTCAATGAGGTGCTCCTGATCCCAGCCAAAGTCTCATGTTATTATAATAGTATAATTATTGTATTCTCCAGACATTACCAGACTATGTCTGTCCCTCTGTACAAGTCAA